CCTGGGAAAATCACCCCAGAAGAATCAGAAGGATGTGAACCCAYGAACCCACGTTCCATCCACATCAGCCACCCCGACTCAGAGGAGTGGGGAAGAACCAACATCCAGCACAGAGCACTCATAAATGATTCCTCGAGCAGGAGGATGAAGAGATGTCAGTGAGGACACGTTTGGATGTGAAGGAGTCCCAGCAGCTCAGCACCCAGGGATTCCCCCACCCACAGTGCACAGCTCTCTCTGGAGGCTGCTGGCCTGGTTTCTGTGCTGTTTGAAACCTCAAACACTCCCACACTGAGGATGTGTGGGATARTGGGAATGCTGACAGCACGGAGCAGATTGGGAACTGCTCCCTCCTCAAACACCAAACCACTGCCACTGGAGGAATCCTGGCTTTGTCCATCAAATCTGGCACRGGGCTTTGCCCACTTTCCCAATAAATGTCCTTTTGCACGTGCCAGGCCTTGCCATCCCATTCCCATTAACAACACACGACCTTCAGGAATTCCTGACATGAAATGAGCAGTCAGGCTACCCAAAAATAAATAGGAAATTGGAAATGGCTTCTGTGTCCAGCTTGAGGAACATTTGGCTCTACAATTTGCTGCCTAAATTCGCTGTAACAACTCTCTCTTCCATTCCTATCTTGCAATCAAATCTACAACAGTGGGGGGAATAAAAAAGGGCAAAAAACAAAAGGTAAATTTTGCTGTAACAACTGTCTTTTCCATTCCTACCTTGCAATCAAATCTACAGCAGTGGGGGGAAAAAAAGGGCAAAAAAAAAGGCAAATTTCGCTGTAACAACCCTCTTTTCCATTCCTACCTTGCAATCAAATCTACAGCACTGGGGAAAAAAAAGGGCAAAAAACAAAAGGCAAATTTCGCTGTAATAACTCTCTTTTCCATTCCTATCCTGCAATCAAATCTACAGCAGTGGGGGAAAAAAAAAGGGCAAAAAACAAAAGGCAAATACTCTACTTGAATTGCTGGTCTTTGGTGCTCCTAGTTTTAGCCAGGAATCTCTCAGCCAACTTCTCCAAATTCCTCGAGTAATCCATCTCAATCTCGGCCTTCTTGCGGAAGAAATCCTGCAAATCCTGCAGCAATTGGACCCGAAGCTCGCACTGCTGGTCAAGGCATTTCAGCTGCTCCACCAACTGGGCACGGATCTCTGCAACAAATAAAAGCACTGCAGATTAAACACAGTCCTGTGACAGCAAACACCATCACAATTCTCCAGGAAAAACATCATTTAAAAATATTCCCCTTCGTCAGCGCCAGCCAAGCTCCCTTGTGGTGATGTCTGCAGGCAGAAYGTGGCTGGGGTTGAATTTTGGAAACACCAAAGGCAGGGAATCCACCCCAAAATCTGCAATGAGGTGCACAGCAAAGCTTTGGAGTGAGGAGTGCATCATTTACAAGAGTGAAGTGCATTTTTGGCACGGGGAGCGAGCGGTCACTGCCTAAAAATGTCCTGAATTTGAGTGTGGAGAAAGGACTGGATGCTACAACACCCCGGCCAATTCTCCGCAGGGAATCTCGCTCCAATTCCTCTGCAAACTACTCCTGATGCAGAAAGGAGACGTTTGCACATTCTGGGGCACTCCCCAAAGGCACCACGKTGGGATTATTCAGTTTGTTCCTCAGTCTCCAGCTGTGCAGCTCATTAGAAACTGAGCCATGAAAGAGATGGAGAAACCCCTCCGGAGAGCCAACAGCACAGAGCTCCCAGYGGGGAATCATCTCCAGGAAGGCTCCTTTTCCTTTTAAAATATCTGCAAGTAGCACATCCCCATCTGAGGACCCCACAAAGCACAAAAATAGGTGTTAATATTATAATTTATATTAATTATTAATGCGTATTCATAATCACAGCGTAATTATTACAAATATCTCCACATTAGCACAGTATTTTACTAAACAGTTTTCARGCATTTTTACAACTACAAAAGCTTCTCCTATTTTAAAACTTCTCCCATTTTACAACTATGAAAGCTTCTGCCATCAGCCWTGTGATGTCTTTATCCCACTGACCCTGAATTTGAGGGACAGAATAGTAAAAATGACTCACTCAGGTCAAGCAGGGCAAGAAACCACAGCAGAAGCGTGTCAGCCCCGGCGTAAAAATGCAGAAATATTCAGTGGTGCAGCCAGCAAAGGCTATTTGGCTTTTACMCAGGCAATAAACTCAACATGAAATCAATAAAATATGCCCTTTCATCGAAAGGTCTTTGAGCAGAGGAGCCTGGATCTGAGCGCTGCTGCCTCCAAAGGTTTTCCAGGATGTGTCATTCCAGGCTCAATCCAAAACTGGCAATAAAATTTCGGGGTTTCCAGCAGTCACAGCTTTGCTCACACCTCCACGCTGTGACTGTGGGCACCCACAGCTCCATCACCACGAGGGATCATTTCCCAAATGKGATTTTTATTTTAATCGACGGCTTCGCCGCTGATTCCTGAAATACGGAAAAATCACGGAGAGCAGCTTGGCTCCTCTCTGAGTTTGTCCCTTTGCCCAGGAAATAAAAAAAAATAAAAAAAACCAAGCCAACCATCTGGACCTCCACGGTTTCATTGCTGCCATGCACTCCCAGGATCGTGCTCACATCTGCTGGGACRGTTTTAGGGAATCTGGGATTCGCAGCGAACAAACCCCGCGTCTTTATTTTAGGGACTCCAAAACCCAAACCACATGTATGAAAACACGGCTCCCAGTCAGCCTTGCCAAAAAGGGAAAAAAAAAAAGGAAAAAATCTGCACAAATGTGGGGTTTTGGAGCTTGAAGATGACCTTGGTTAGCACTGGATTTGGTGGTTCTGAACTTCTCAGCCAGTGGCACTCGGGGGTTTTTGCTGCAAGGAGAAAATCCAAGCAGCAAGGCTGTTGAAAGGGAGGAGTCAACACTGTAATGTGGGGTAAAGATGGTCAGGTTTATTTTTTTCCCCTAGGAGAGAAACTTAAAAAGCAGAAAACTTGTGTTTCTTCAGCAGGAAACACAAAATTACAGGCAAACCCACCAACATGAGCTGCTCGTGCACTTCCTAAATCCAAACCACTCCAGCACCGCTGTCTCCCCGGGGTTTGGGGTACCCAGCTCAGGTGGGAAGAATGTGGGGTCACCCCAGGCAGGGCTCTGCACCCTCCAGGGSTGGCTCCAAGGGTGCTGAGGACACAAATCCATGAAGAACCCATCCCTGGATCTGCAGGGAGCCACACCAGGTGAGATCTGCACGCAGCTTCGCAGATTCCTGTGCTTTTGAGGTGCCTTTGTTGTTTGCCCCGTCCCAGCCGGTGTTTCAGGATCAGCAGGGCCTGGCAGGGCCACGGGGAGAGATGAGATCCTCTCTCACACATCAGATCTGCCAGAATTTATGTAAAACTTCTCTGCTGACGCTCAACATGCGCTGCACGCACTCAGCTCCGGCCCCAGACACAAAAACCGCTGGAGGATCTGCCCGGCTCTGCCCCTGACAGGTTCAACCAGGGAAATGCAAACCAGACACCCCCATCCCACCCCAGGCTTTGCCACTGAGACTTTTTAAAGCACAGGAGGTGATAACAGCACCAAAATTGTCAGTTCAGCAGTGTTTCCTTGCTGCAATCACTCCATCCTCCTGATCCTTAACCTGGCGCTCACCTGCAGCTCCAACATCCAAAAATGAAAATCCTTCAGCACAAGAAGCATCAGGAAGCTCTTCCTCCCTTTGTGTTTTCTCCTCCACCCTTTCCTCACCAAAAAGGGATGGGCCCAACACAGAAACAACTCTGTGACCTTTGCAGAAGCCACTGGACAAAAGACACTAATTTTAGCAAGTTGTGGACTCATCGAAAGGGATCRCACAAGGAAAATACCCCGAGCAGCYCTGGGATTTTCTGCTAAGCACTTTAAGAAAGAGGATCACGATTCGAATGCAGCAAATATTTTGTTTACCTGTGATGTTTTTATTTTTGCATTTAGGGATTGCTCACCTGCAATTTTTCAGAAACCAGGAACCCTGTTGGCATGAACGAGCAAGAAAAGAGGATTGGGGTAGGGATGGCAAATCCAAAATTCAGCTCAGACACAGCATGACCACCCACCCTCCTTGGTGCCACRACTGATGGATTTTTTATGAGAGCAACAACCCAAAAAATTTGGGTGCTTCATCATGGTCTCAACTGCAAAAGCAGAAATAAATAAATGAAAATAATTCATTTTAATAATAAAATAAAAAGGACCACCTCCAAAAAGCAGAGAGAGATAGGAAGATCAGCAGAGCACGAGTGTTTTAATTATAAAATTACAGAAGAGCTCTCGAGGCTTCAAACACAGCTCCCACCGAACAGCAGCAAAGAAACAGCAACTTTTCCTTGGGTGTGAAACGCGATCTCAGCGTTTTTTTCCTGAAAATCGAGGCCGTGTTCGGGAGGGGAGCGGCGCCAGCTGATGGGAACAATGCGCCATTCAGCCGCGGCTTATCGCGGGGCCACCTCGCTCATCTTTCAAACCCCGCGCTCCCCTCCGCCCCGAAATCAAACCCAGAGCGCAGGAATTTCCTGAGGCTTACAGGGGCTTTCTGCAGGATGAAGTGCCYGCTTGTTTTCCCGCTGCTTACACAAGCAGGAGATGTTTTCTTGCTGCCCTTGCTCTGAGCACATCCCCCGGCCCAAACCCAGGGTGACCAAATTACACGGGACCTTTTCACATCCCCAGTCACAACAACCACCCCAGTCCTGAATTCCCGGCTCCTGCACTTTTTAATTTGCACAGGTTATTAGGTTAACAGCCGTTTAAACACCGAAAAAAGCCTTTCCCCCTCCTTGCCTGGAGATTTCAGCAGTGCYACCCACTGTGATTGTGGAAGAAACTTCTGCCAGTGCCTAAAGGTGGATGAGCACACGCCAAAATCAAGGTCGAGCTGCCTGTGGCAAAATTCGGATTAAACACCAGGTATTCTCATTGCCAGCCTTGCCCTGGATYGCTGAATTGTCTCTTTTGTATTTCCAGCTCACGTGGCTGGCGACGACGGAATGCAAACATCCTCAGGAGGCACGGAGGAGTTTTCCATCCACTCAAACCAAACCAGGGATTGGTTTCCATCACCTGGGCACGAAGTCACCTGGGTCACTGAGGGACAGTCATTGTGTAACTCTGGACAGTTGCGTAACTCCATTTTTCTCCTTTCTGCAGCCGCCTTCTCAACGCTCCCTTGGCACGCAGGAGGCRGCTCCGGTTTACAATGAATTCAGGGGGTCAGGAAGGATCTTTTGCTTTCTGTATTTCAGTCACATTTGTGATTCCCTGCCCAGAGAAGCTGCCCCATCCCTGGAAGTGTCCAGGTTGGACAGAGCTTGGAGCACCCGGGAAGGTGCCCTCTGCCATGGCATGGGGTGGGTTGAGATGAGATGAAAGGTTCTTTCCAACCCAAACCATTCCATGATCCTCCACGTCCTCAAACGACACCAAACCCAGCAGTTTCTGCAAAGCTCCTGACAGGAATCTGTGTTTTCATCAGACAATTCCACCCGGAGYAGGGGATGTGCCTGGGACTGCGCCTTGCCCTTGTACAGCACACAACGTCCACCTTGTGGAAAACAATTCACCAAACTTGGCTTTTTACGGGTTAAGTATCCCATAAAGTTGGAACATAGACCCAAACCTGAAAAAGAATTTACCAAATTTGACTTTTTAAGGGTTAAGTATCCTGTAAAGTCTGAATATGGAAACATTCTGAAAAGGAATTCACCAAACTTGTCTTTTTAAGGGTTAAGCATCCTACAAAGTTGGAACATGGAAACAAACCTTCTGAAAAGAAATTCACCAAACTCGCCTTTTTAAGGGTTGACTATCCCATAAAGTTGGAATGTGGAAACAAACCTGAAAAGGAGTTCACCAAACTTGACTTTTTAATGGTTAAGTATCCTGTAAAGTAGGAAAATGGAAACAAACCTGCTGAAAAGAAATTCACCAAATTTGACTTCTTAAGGGTTAAGCAACCTATAAAGTTGGATTGTGGAATCAAACCTTCTGAAAAGGAATTCACCAAATTTGACTTTTTAAGGGTTAAGAATCCTATAAAGCTGGAACATGGAACCAACTTGCTCATTCTTCCACGGGTCATGCAGTGAGTTAAATGAGGAGCTCAGAGCCAGGAGCCCTCCCTGCCCGGTCACCCCACGCACCCTGAGCCA